TTGTTCTTTATATTTTTCTTCACTTTTGCAAATGAAAGAAATCATACGAACACAACTTTAATCAGAAAATTGTTTTTCTATTATTATTTTCAGAGCAATCTCGTAAGTTTTTAGATATTTTATTAAATTCTTTTTCAGAACAATATTATGCGAAAAGAACCATTTTCGAAGGTCGTGTACGCGTCAATATGCATGGTTTATGCCCGAATGAAGAGAAAAAGCGAAATACGAGGGAAAATCTTGGGTCTGTATGAATAAATACCCTCAGCGAAAAATTATCATCCTAATACAAAGTATCGATTTTGCGCAAAAATAATAAATATTCTCGCATAGTTATAAAGCGGAAGAGATTGATGTTGACGCAAAAAAAATTTCGCAGCAGAAGTTTAACTTTTTCCCGACTTGAATGAACTTTGATTTGGACTTGAGCCACGATGCTCTGTTATTAAATATTCATCCGGCTTATGTCCTTCGACTTTCACAGATGATATTCAAGGACACCGCGGTCGATCGAACGCCGATGACACTTTCCAGGTTGTAATTTTATCTTCATTTGACCTCTTATGCAAGTCGACCGTCCGATGTCGGATCGCTAACGGTGCAGTGGAATGAGAAATTATGGAGCGAAGCAGTCCCTCGCGCGAATCACGCCGTGTAAGGATTTTCTCAACGAGAAAATCAAAGACCCTCGGCATTATTGGATAATATTACGTAACGCAAGATAATCAAACTTTTGGCAGAGTTATATTGAAATTGTATTTCAACTCCGGAAAATATTCCAGCTATATAAAAATGCAAAACAACGAAGAAGGTGGCGAATGATTAAATTTTCGTTAATGGAAGATGGATCTTAATGGTGAGTTAAATCAAAATATTTTTGTGTAGCCTGCAGAATAAGGACGTGTGAGACACGTATTATGAATGGGGCGAGTAATACGGAACATGTTGAAGAGGTCGGGAACCGATCGTCACGGAAGAAACTTCCCTTTACGACCTCCCGCTCCTCCTACTCGCTCGCAGTTCTCTACTTCAGCAACCTAGGTCCCTATCCTTGCCTTCTGATGACAACTTCGCTCCACCCACATACGTCGTCGTCGGTCGTCGTCACGACGCTTCGCCGCCGTCTACCGACTCCCGACGATGACCCACTTCAACGAGGATACCCATCGCCATTCAAGGCTGCCGGTTGATAAGAAAGAAACAGAATCTCTGACCGAATTCGTTGCGCTTTTCCGCAAGAAAGGATGATTCCGCCCAATCGCGTACAAAGTATCAACTTACGTTCGTACTCTCTGATGTGAATTCATAAATTCTGTCATCACGGATAAAACAAAGAAGCAGGAAACAACAAGTCTATAGCGAAGTCTCTTAAAGAGATTGCTTCGTTAATACACGTCTCGGACGTAATCCTCGGGAATCTCAATGCGAAACGAGAGTTATATCCTCGGAAATCCATTGTCGTGTCGTGAGCTGCAACGGGTAGATCAAAGGATGGAGACTCCGTTTTGCAAACGGTGGTAAAGCGCTGCCGCGTATCTCTGCGAGAAACAGTATTGACGCTCCCGCGTAAAATTTTGCGACAATCGAGGCTGGGTGCAGCTGCAGTAGCAGCGGTAACAATCGGCACGCTGGAAACTGGTGAGTACCTGCACGAGAGTAACGCGATCAATATTCTGTTTGCGAGTGCACACTTGCCCCGAAGCACGTGTACGCGGTGGCGTTTGTTTTCTGCCGTGACTTCCCGGAGCTTACGTATTTATTCGCATCCGTTAGAAGAATATCCTTTCGTACAAACTCTCCTCATTCTAAAGGCTACAGTAGCACTCTACGATCGAGAAAGCGAACGCTCTTCTTTCCAACTTTTTGTCGAAAAAAAAAGGGCAAAGTTACTTTGCAAATAATGGCCAATTTGAACCCAATACGTTTTAAATTCAAGTTTTTTTATTGTAAAATAATTTTTTTCTAGCATCTTCGATGCTAATATTTTTAGCCATCTTTTCCATTCCACGTTCATTACAATTACAACAGTTTTAATTTAGTTTGTACAAGCATTTGAATAGGGATGTTAGACGTAGTTCCGAAACGAAATGGAAGTTACGGCGATATTATTCCGAGCTTGCTATTTATATTATCCCGAGAATGAAGGCTCGTACGTACGCCTTATCGCCCACGGGGCTGCCATTCAATTAGATTGTGCCGACAGAGATCGGAGCGCAAAGCTAAACCGAGGTTCTCTTCGCGGCGACATGAACGGCGGATAGGTGCGCCACGGCACGTGCGCAGGAGCAGAAATCCGCCGGAAATTCGATCGATTCGTGTGCGCGTGAGAAAGTTGGACGAGCGAGAAGACGACGCGAATGAAATCGCGACGACAGGAGGCCTCGAGAGGCGCAACGAATGATCGAACGGCGAGGTAAGAACCTGGAAGGGATCTCTTGACCCCGATCGCGCACATCCGAGAAGAGACCAGGTAGGTAGACTGCCTGAGATAAGACCGCCTCGGTGCATTTTCTCGTGATCGAAGTTCGACCTTGACTAGGTGGCAATGTATCCGGATCTTTTGCTAATTGCGAGCAATTCTTTATACGCATTTGAATATATCGCGTTCGAGAGAGAAAAGCAGTGAGCATTTCGTCAGAATTGGTGATAGTTGCATTTAGCAGAAAAAGTAGATCTGCAACTATTATAAAATTCTTTAATATTTGATCCTTAGTTTCCTTACCAAATCTAAATGTATAAACCAATTGTATTAAAGATCTATCAATTTTGGTACGGCACGTAGACTTGGGATAATCGAATATTAGAATAGATCGTATGCCGGCAATTTGTCGCATCAACTGCTAATAGAAACTTGCGCGGGATATAAGCGGTATTATAGGACTCGTTTTACCCTCAAACCAAGCGCTGCATCAAGGTTGAAGTGTATTAATAAGCACATAGCTCTCCGTGACATTGTGATACTCCTAGACTAAACACAATGATTTCCCATTGTCCTGTGTGATCGATCAATTTCGCGCGAAGCTATAAGACAACTCACAAAGTATCACTTATTCAGGAAACTTACAAGGTCTGTCGGTACGAGGAAACGCGGCTTTACATTATTCCGAATTACATACAATTTTGCGATACGTCGTATGAGTTTCTCAGCTAAAATACTAAAGAAGTTAAACCGTTTATGTTTAAATTACATACAATTTTTCGCTCATCTAACAATAAGTTTCGGATGAAACACTAAAAAAAATCGATTCAAGGGATGCTCACAGAAATCTCGTTATTTATCCATAAAAAAATTATTTGCCGTTGAACTACATTCTTATAATTTTGTATTATTTCACATTCTAAATCTGTTTTCTTTTTTTTTCGATAACACGTAATTCTTTAACTTATCGCGTGAACCTACAAATGTCTCAACTGTCTAAACACACCGTCAATTGAACGTTATATATATAATCTAATTAATTTTCAATGATTGCTAGTAGACGGAAAATAACGCGTAATAAAAGGTCAATCAGGCGAGTTCACCGATTTGATTTAATGCAGTTAAATTTGAGAATGTTGTCTTTTGTCCTCGCCTCGCAAAGACTTACAAATGTCGCAAACGTCAATAATAACGCGGTGTATGACGCGGTTTCGATATTACATTTCGTTCCATGATTTAATTGCTTCGTTATGGAGTGATACGTGATATGTGCTCTATGCGCGTATACTATAAACTGAAATACGAATTTCCTTTGTTTATTACCTCCGGCAGCGTTACATATTGCAGCTTCCATATAAGCAAACAATTATATTCATTGACAAATTGCAACAATCGTACAATACAAAGTTTGATGTATAATTCCAAGTTATTATGGTGATAATATGATCGGAAATATCAAATTAGTGCATCACAAATACGAACACAGTTAATACAAGATCTTTTTATCTTTTTTTTCCTTTTATCTCGGATGTAAAACGACAAAATTAGCCAATTTTCAGTTATTATCATACCTAGTAATTTTGTATCGCGATGTTGACGATGATTCTTACAATTCAGCGGTAATTTGGTAATCGCTGCGTACATTGTATCTTTACTGGTTACGACACCGTCTCGTGCAAGCATTTTCCGCATTATAAATAGACATGCTTTGTTTAGGTATTGATAATATTATGTATAAGTATTTCTTATGAATTAGTAAAAATTACCTATTATATATATAAATTAGTAAAAAAATAATTCTGCTACGACATACTACAAAAATCTTTTGTAACACGATGATAAATTCGAATACAGAGGCATGCAAATTGAATTGTTGGAAAACAGAATATCCAAAGGTTGAGATATACATAATTAATTCCGACAGTAAATATGTCGGAATTAAAAACACCATATAGGGTCGTGCGTTGAACCGAATAAGCGTCCGTCTCCGGCTTAGGGTTCAATGGAGTTAATTACGTATATTAAAAACTTCCCGTTATTCAGTTCAAAGTAAACATTTAAAGTGTAATTTCATAATTTTCATGAAAAATTAGAAATAGACAAAGATCAATAGGAATATGTCCGTCACAATAGAGACTATTTTTTTTCTTTTAAAGATAATTTTTAAAAAGTTCTATAAAATATTACGTTGTTTAATAAATCATAGAATTTTTGCGTGAGCTGAAAATATTTTATTAAAATAATTTACGTCTTATTCGACAGTATTATCATTGAGTGAAACGAAGTGAAAGAATCACTTAATCCCTAGCTTTGTCGATACCAATTTCATACATACTGAATGAAAAAGTTCCACGCACTATAATGAACTTACGTTTGTATGTGCATATGCAGGATACATACAAGGTCGCGGACACATGTAATTGAGCGCTCTGCACGCTTCCGTTAAGAGTCGAAAATTAGCTGGGGTTTAACCGGCGACTTAACGACGAAGAGCCTCAATCAGTAAGTGAAGGATATAGCATTAGCCCTCTGTCAAGCACGCCCACATCCCGTCGTCGCGGCGTTATAAAAACAGCGCGTAACCAGCGTGGATGATACATTTTGCCTTTGAAAAGTGACATATCGAGGTTCAAGCGAGCGAGCAAGCAAACATACGACAATGCACGTGTCAGTGATCCTCGGCGTAGTGTTGCTACAGGCGATTTACGTGTCCGCCGGGGTAAGCCTTTCAGCTTACTTTCGTTAAACGTGATACAGATCCCCGTACAATAGGGACAATAATCGACAGTGACCCACTGTACGCATTGTGATGTGCGATTCGCCGAACGTGCGCGCGCGACCTGTCGAGAATAGTGCTAAAGTCCGACACACGAGAATACTCACTGCGACGCGCTCGTAATAAATTCTGATTTTGCGTAGCCACCTGACTGGATCCCCGCGGAAATGTTGGAGATGGTTCAAGCTGACAAGGAACGGTGCATGGCCGAACACGGAACGTCTCAAGGTGAGCCCCGCAATTAATAGCACGATCAACATGCGGCCAATAATCCCGCGCTATTATACAAACTGCTTTCCATAATCGTTTAAAGCCCCAAAGTAAAACATCCTAGTCATTTCGAAAGAAAGTCTATTACAAGTCTACAATTAAAAGTCTATTACAAGAGCTTTCTATCTATATCAAAGTTTTCATCTCCTCGCATTTATAACGGGTATTTCAATTCCGCGATGTAGTGCTTATCGATGAAGTTAACGATGGGAAGCTCTCGAATGACCGTGCTATAACGTGCTACATGAACTGCCTTCTCGATGCCTTCAGCTTGGTAATATTTTTTAAAATTATTTCGCTTATTATACACACACACACACACACACACACACACACACACACACACACACATACAATGCAAAACTAATTTTTCGCCGATTAGGTCGATGAAGAGGGTGATTTGGAAGTTGACATGCTGATAAGCGTTATTCCAGATCAATTTCAAGAGATAGGTAACAAAATTTTGAACAAATGCGCTAAGCAAGGTACGTTGTGTGAGCAAAATGTATTTTTTTAATAATTACTTCATTATTATTTCATGAACTTCCCGCTCTGATTCGGTTAATGTTACAGACGGCGCGGATGCATGCGAAAAAATCTACGAAGTGGCGAAATGCGTCCAAGGAACTGTACCAGAGGTAAGTAGATTTATTATTTCAAGTCAGTAACTCTTAATAAAATTGTAATTAAACGTTTCATTTTTTAATTCAACATTATTATCTTTTCAACATTATATAAAAGAGTACATTTTCTGTGCGGTTAAATCAACATCGTCAGTAAAATCCTTTTTTATACTTGTTTTCCATTAATTAATTCATGTAAATGTATTTTATTACAGTTGTGGTTTATGGTTTAATTCGACACATGGGAGAAGAGTTTGCTCCACAAGCACATGCGACGATGTTCTCCAATATATCCCACGTTACAAAGTAAAACAATTCGCTCGCGGAGAATAATAAAGAACAAAGAAGTAGCATATAGGGATATACGAATTACGTAAATTTCAAAAATGTGATTTGTATAATAATAATAGTAAGTAATTATTATGAACACGCTGTGCGGTCTAACATGAATAAAATTAGTAGAAAATATTAATGTTTGATATTAAAATATTGGCCAAGATATAAATATGCATTGAAATTAAATCGAATCCAAGCAAATTAAAGGGAGGGATATGAGATATGCATAATCACGAGCTATTTGTGAGTCCATGTTTAATTAAATAATTTTTTATGATTTTATTCGCCTTTGATTCCAGTACCATTTGACTTTCTCATTGTTCGCAGAATCGCGTGTAGGGTGAAGCGGGGTGTGTCAAATTAATTAAAAAGGATTCGTTACACTCGTTACAAAGAGTAAATTACATAGTACAGTTAATTAGGTACATAGTAGCTTCTCGAGAAAAAATATTTATTAAAGAAAATATTGTGAAATAAAACATCGAAGGAAGCCATAGAAATCACTGTCAGTTCAGTAAAACTGAAGAATCCAGTGTATAAGAATGAGGTAAGTCCATAAGTTTCTAAGTCTATTTTAGAAATGAAACTATATACTTAAAGTTGACTTTACAAATTACGAGCTTATTCACGTGTCTGGCAGAGAATCTTTTAATTATGTACGAGGTAGGGATTTCCTCGCCTGATAGTGTGCCATAATTTCGATAATCGTATATTTTAAGTACAGTGCGTTTTTATATAGGCAATAGCTTACATTTCCGAAAATTTCGCATGTAAATTAATTACTTGTTTACGTGTAGTAGTACACATAATTACGGTCTTTAGTCGTGAAATTTCCTACAGTTTGATTTTACGGTACGACAACCAGCATTTTTTCCATCAATGTGGAAAAATATATTGTGTAATTTCATCATTGGATCTCTATCTGAAATGACATCGCGTAACTTTCTTAGTTCACCTGGGTACGAGAAAACTTCATCCAGGAAATTTAATTGTTGCTTCGGATAATGCACAGCTGCTAATGCAAGTACATTTTACTGTGAACTTTGAAATAACGTCAAGACTAAATGAAATTATTTTGCAAAATTTTTCACGCGATATTTAAAAAAAAAACACTTATTGGCTATATTTGCCATATAAATTATTAATTTGTTAATAAATCTTATTATAAGTGATTACACTGTTAAATCTAGTGTCAAATTTAACCTAAGGTGAGTCGCCACTGCTCCTACTAAATATATCATTATTTTTTACCAAAACGTTAAATTTGACACTGTATCGTGTCAAATTGACACTGTATAGTGTCAAATATAATCATTGTTTTAGTATAAAACGATATGATTGAGTAGGAGCAGTGGCGACTCACGTTAAATTAAATTTGACACTATAGATATTTAACAAGTGCTTGAAATTTGACGATTGATTTATATTCGTTAAAACTTTTCGAAACTCCCGCTATAAATGTCGCGATTTCGTGACTATCTACGTCATTCTGTAAATCCCTCGGAAGCAGATATTTGCATGAATATAATAATAATTATGCATGAATATATAGAATCATTAATGACTGGGTTTGGTTATTTCCATAAAAGTATTTTCTGCATGGAATTTATGTTGGTTTGCACAGCTTAATAAAATATCCATTGTTTATCGAGTATATACACTGCAACTACAATACAGACATGAGACAAAGGTCACAGAGTTCAAAATGCAGAATAAAACCTTCATTTATTCTTTTTAGTACAACACGAGCGAAAATGTATGCATCGTTTACCTGCAAGACGCAATTAACCTAGCATAGTCACATCGAATTAACCATAATCGTGTTGTAATTCTAATTATTTTGCGATTTTAACTATTTCGTTCGTCACCGCAGGATTTCAATTTAATTGCTACTAAAAAATAGTCGACTACACAACTACATTTATAGTGTTCAATGCAATCGGGAATATCTTTAATTCGTGCTATTGCGTACGTGCCATGCAACTTTATTGCTGTGTAAAGACGTTGCAAAAAGAAAAAGGGGAAGATCACTACGAAAAGAAAATTGTTACGATCGATACCAGTCGATACAACTCCTATTGCGTTCAGTGATGTGCAACGTGAACAACATTTATCAATACAATATTTCCTATTTCATATACAAGTAAAATAAACAGCAAGACATTATACTGTATTATCCGAAATAAATTTCGTACTTCCACTAGAACCTAGTGCGGAAAAAAAGCGAATTGTAAAATATCTGCAGTGCGGAACGACCCTTGAAAACACGGAGAAAAGTCTTTCATTTTGTGCTGATTTTTAAAAGAAGTCTTTCATTAAAAAGTTTCAAAATAATGATAAGTTACGAGTTTCATCGCGGAACACGTGATAAAGTTATTAGTTTAAAATAACGTGATTTCAAAAATCAATTTTATGCAAGAAAGAATTTCTTTCGGAACTTTGCAATCAAAAATATTGCGTTCATCTAAAATGGATCGAAACTATTAAGATCGAATTTCATTGCACTTTGAACATAACAATTTAAATCCTTACTTTTTCAATTCCAAATGTCATAAAGTCTGACATCAACCAAAGATTGGCTCTCTCGATCGCCGAGATCTTTTCGAATAAACCTGTGGCAGAGTGCCTGAATGTAATGTCCAAAACGAATCGACGTAACGTGACTTGGAAGAATTTTTCTCCGTGGAACGAGATGAGGGTGCGTTCCAGAGGGTGCAACGAAACGTTCGGGAGACAACAAGCCGGGGCAACAACAACTGGGGGATGTTTTCGTTCGGGCAAGATCGGTACAGACCTTAAGGTCGATCGAGTGGATCGCGCCGGGATGCGGCGAGGAGTGCTCTTTCGCGTCGTTGCCACAATTGACATTGTTGTTAACGTTCGGCAGCGAGCCACCCGCCCTGAACTGATTTCCCAGGTTAATGTGCAGATGCTTGCCGCTGGACTGCGGTGGACTGGCGCCGGCACTCTTGACGGATAGCGGGGTCTCCGGTACGCCGGATCCCGTGGGACTAGCACCCACCGAGCTGCTCGCCGAGGCCACCTGTGCAAGTCCCGTTCATTGACAACCACACCGCAAACAAAGCAGTCGTAAGCGAGCTTTACAGCTCCTTATCCGACCGGTTAGCCTTGCGAGATTAGGCGCTTCGAACGAAAACTCAAAATTAGTGAGACATCGCCGCAGGCTAACCAAGCTATTTTCTCTTCCTTCCTGCGAGACTTACGGAGTCAGGACTGAGGATTCTTTTACATCCTGCCACCCTCGCTATTATACCATTCTTATTCTATACATTTTAAGTCTTAAGTCGTAAAAAATTGATCGATTAAAGTCGGTTTATTCTTTTCACATTTGACTGTGATCGGTCAATTTTTTACGGCTTAAAGCTTAGGTAATAGAGAGTTTTTGCAATAACGTGAATCCAGATACGATGAACGCTAAAGTCACGTTATCCTTTTCTTCATTAGTTGTTAAGAGAAGATAATCTGACTTTAGCGTTCACCATATAGGGATAAACGGTATTGCAAAAACTCCTTAATGGCTTGTTGTAGAAAGCCCACTACGGTTGGTTCTTACGTTGCAAATGTGTTCGTGATCTTCGGTCATTCCTTTTGTCGATAATAAGCGTTGGCTTCGCGACGTAGTATTGGCTTTCACGGTATAATGATCGGCCTTTCTGTGGACCACGCTCCGATAAACAGGTTCTTATCTCCGTAACGGATTCCATTCTTCGATTGTCGATTTGAACGATACTCTAAGCTCCATGAGCGAAAAATTTGGGCAACGTGCACGAAACTATTTTATATACAGACATTGTAAAATCTAACGGAATTCGGTCCCGCACTGTGTTTAATCAGTAGACAAGACATGACGGATGACCGTTTAAAAACTGACAGTTAACAGCTACTTGACAGTAAAATTTAAGCGGTTCTCATCGTAAATTGAGAGAGATCGGCAAGCTTTCAACGTACCAGATATGAAATATTTTAAATTTTGTAAATGAAGAGGCAATTTAGAAAATTATGTAGATATTTATATAACAAGATAAACTGGAAAAAATGTAAATTTTAATAAATCATTCGTTTGAATAGCACCAACTAATTATTTATTTGGTACAAAGTCATTAATTTAATTTGACAACCATTTTTTTTATTGAATAAATATTTATTTACTGTAAGTAAATGTTTAGCTGGCAATATTCAAATAAATATTTATTACTAAAATTATTATTTATTAAATTTATTATTATTTACTAAACCTTAATACATTTTTTCTCAAAGTAAAAAACAAATTTTTTTATTAACAATTTAAAATATGTAGATATTCATAAGATAGCAAATAAGATAAAAAAACAATTTTTTATTAAAGAAATTCAAGCTATAATAATTATTATTACTACACTGAAAAAAAAATATAGTCAATTTTAATAAATATTTAGTTCAATACTGTCAACTAAACATTTACATACAGTAAATAAATACTTGTTCAGTAAAAAGAATGATTGTTAAATCAAATTAATATTTCTTGTATCAAATAAATATATCTTTATATTTAATAAATATTTGGCAGTATTGAACTAAATATTTGTTAAAATTGACTATATTTTTTTTCAGTGTAGCACAATAATAATAATAAACCGTAGTTTGCCGACCCCGGTAGTAAACAATCATGTTTTGATGTCTAAACAAGTAAATTTCTGCGTAAAGCGCGGAGATCCAATCTCGTTTCGTTTGTCCAGAAGACTTTCGCTCCGAGATACTCGGATAGCGACGAACGGTCCCGTGAGACGTCCTTATCTTTTCGACGCGATTGGAGAACGCTTCCCGGCGCTCCGTTTTAACCGCACGGGGGCATGCGGAGGTGCGCTCGAGAACGCTAAATGCATCGACCCAACCTCGCCGACGCTCCCGTTGAAAATACCTCGAGGGCCGCCGGCGCTGCTATTGAAAAAGCGGAATGTTTACATGCGCATCGAAATGAATCGAATGCGTCGTAACGAACGCCAAGCTTCATCCGCGAGATCACCCGAGGAAACGCGCCGCTCTCGATGTTTTTCTCTTTTTTTTTCTTTTTTTTTTTTTTATCGAAATTGAAATCCCACGTGCCGGCCGGCGGGTATTCAAACACCGTGCTCCGATTCTACAACGCGGAATTGCCAAACAAAGATAAATTCGGAGCCATGAATCGTTGGAGCGGAATCGTTCGCGTTAAAACACGAGTTAAAACGCGCGATCAATCACGCTCGCGAGAGATTAATCCGCGTCGCGTAATCGCGCCTCGCGAGCGACAAGTGCCTCCGAGCCGCGTTCGTATCGGCGCGGGCGCGAGCGCGAGCGCGAGCTCGAGCGCGCGTGGAAAATCCACGCGACGCAAGTATAACATCGGAGCACGTACGCGCACGGTGCACCGCTCTCGCGGCAACGCGAGTTACGCGAGGTATACGCGTGCCGAGGATACGCGGCCGCGCGCGCGATGCACCAGCAGTCGCACGTAGTACACACACTCGCGGAGCAACCCGGCCGATACACAGACAAGCAGGCAGGCAGGCGGGCAGGGCAGGCACGCACGCACTCGCGCACGCACGCATATGTATATGCACTCACACAATCACACAGACGGAGACCGAACAGCGCGGTAAGCGCAACGACAAAAAGGAGAGACGGAGATCGGAGGGAGAACGAGAGAGAACGACAGGGGCAAGGGGATCACGGGGACGAGGGGAGACACCCGTTGTTTACGTTCTAACATCTGAGCCGAGGGAGGTGCACGACGGGTCACGGCGCGATCGCGGCACGGCACCGAGCCACCCACGCCAAAGGATAATACTGATATTTCCTTACTCTGCTCGTGACGTTCGAGACCTCCTTCATGATCGCCTCGAATGCGGCCGAGTCCTGCGCCTCCTTCTGGAGCGATCTTTTCACTGAATTTCCGTGGGTTCGCCATGATGGCTCGCGGCACTAGTTTTTCGTGGACACTCGCGGAACCCGGAGCACCCACCACCACCACCGCCGCCACCACCAACCACCACTATCGCTGCCGCTGAGCGACCGCCGACCACCAGCCACCCTATCGTCGCCGTAACACCGTTCGCCGCCCTCGCGATCCGTTTCCTTGTTTTTCTTCCCTCGATAGACGACGCACCACTGCTCGCGGATTCTCGCACGGATTACGATTATCGCGCTGTGCTGTTTCCCCGCGTAACCCCGATGTGTGCCTTCCGGATGGCACTGGCGAACACTGATACGCAAGATCATGCGGCGCAGCGCGCCACGCGCATTGCGCAGGAGCTGCAACTTCGCGGCCCGACTCCGACTGGTCGCGCGACGATCGCCGCCCTCTCGTGGCCGTATACGTTACGAAAATCTCAGGGACTTTGTGATTTTTCCCTGAAATCGTTGCGAGAATGTGGAACTGGTTCCCTAGTCAATCGCCATTTTGCGATTGCGCACTCAGTAATAATTTGTCACTAAAAAAAATGCTGAGGTTAGGTCTGTTCGCGTTGCTTGAAATTCTCAAGAATGTTTGCGCGTAAAATGAGATAAATATATATTCAGACGAAGAAAAGAAAGAAAGCGATGATGCTGGACGCAAAAAGAGCAAGCAACACGAACAGCCTCTAAAAAAAATAAATCATTGTTTTTTTATTCCTTCACTTGCTGCACTAGAATTTTCCTTCTTTCTTTCACCAAACGTTCAAATATATTTCTATTTTACTTTAAGTACAGAAAGTGTGCACTAGTTCAGTTATCAAAGACAGATCTATATTTTTAGTAAAAAACACGTATATACAAAAAAATTGATATATAAAATTAGATTAGATATAGCATAAGCTTAACACTGAATTCTCTTGCCTCTTCATGAAATATTGCTGTATTTTTGATAAGTAAATTGTGAAGAAAATAGTTCGAATAAATGCAATATATTTTTCCTGAAGTATGATGACGTTTATTCATTAATTTCCTTCCTTTCACATTGAGGAAAAAGCGTGCTATAATAAGTAACGCCCATTTGACAGCAAGAAAATCGTTATGTCGATAAGATTATACTTTAATCGTTTTAATTGTGCAAAATAATCAATACACATAATTATATTAAAATGGCAAAAATCGGTGAAAATGTGTATTTAGAGCATATTCCATCAGGAATGTACAACGAATTAATTCGCGAGTTAAATAAAAACTCAAGTTGGCAGATACTCGCCTGTCACGTAGCCAAACAATTTGGATACCAATGGTAAAGAATAATGATTCGGGTAACTTTGATAAAAATTAATCAAGTATATATTCTTAATAAACCTTTATGTATTTGCCACGTGTAGGAACTCGTGGCTAAAATCATTAGAACAGAATACCAATGCTACAAAAACGCCAGCAGACAATCTGCTGTTTGAGCTCAATGTAAAAATGTGCACAGTTGGAATATTATCCATGTTGCTTAGAGATTGTGAACTTGGCAACGTTTTGTCCGTCTTACATTATCCAGGTATATATCTCTTGATAGTTGAGAACCGATATATTGTAGATAAAATAATTCCATAACAATTGTCTAACTTTTAAAATTATTATTAGAACCATCGGTAATTGTTAAACATCCTTCTGACGATCTAGAACATGATACTTTAGAGATATCTCTTAGTCAACACCTTCGTCTTTCTTGCAAAGCTATGGGTATACCATCGCCGAGTTATCAATGGTATCACAATAATATTGAGTTGCAGGAACAGCAAAGTTGTGAACTTGACATTGTTATAAATAGGTAAAAATAATGTCTCAATTTGTGACGTGACAGATTAATTAATTATGTATACACAATTGCTTACAGCTGTGATCAAGCTGGAGAGTATAATTGCAAAATCTCACAAGTCACCAACGATGGAGAGATAGTAATATCTACATTGCTAACGAAATCAGTTTTTGTAAATTTATCTCACGTACCTGTAATTATACAGCAGCAGCCACCTGCTTTCTTAGAGCTTAAGGAAGGTGAAGATTTTATAATTAAATGTATAGCACAAGGTCATCCAGAACCACATTATCAATGGTTTAGAGATAATACAAGATTGGAAGGAGAAACATCCAATGTATTACACGTAAGTACACATAATATTAATACTAAAAGATTGTATAATAGAAAAAGAAAAAATGTTTTAGATAAAACAGTTCAGTTCTAAACATGAAGGAAAATATCATTGTTATATAAATAATGATGTGAACGAAATAATTACTCAAAGAAGTCATGTAATGGTAAACAAATTATATACAATTTATTATTTTATGAGAATAAAAATTAAATGAATTTTCGTCTAAACTGTTATGATAATATATATTCGTATTGATACAGTTGGACCTTCCTCGTGAAAAAGCAATAGCAAAAATAGCTTTAATAATTGCAAATGATGATTATGAAAATCACATGTGTCTAGAAACACCTAAAAACGATGCTGCAAAAATTGGTATTTTGTTAAAAGAAATCGATTTTAAAATAATCTGTCTGGTAAACTTGTCGCTTGAACAGATGAAGAATGCTATAAAAAAATTTGGTGAAATTTTAAAAGAAGGAATTTATGGTGAGTTATTATAAATATACTGCATAGAAATATATACGCGTATAGTGTCTTTATTATTAAAGTTTACGTCATGTAGGATTGTTCTATTATGCTGGACATGGTTTTAAAATGCAAGAAAGTTACATGCTTGCTGTTGATGCACCAGAATCGTATTTAAGAAAAGATGCAATTTGTGAGAGTGAATTGTTAGCTATATTATTGCAAAATGATCCTGCTCTTTTAGTAACGGTATTGGACATGTGTCAAACTATACCCCCAAAGTAAGAAATTCTACTTTTTTATGTATATAATTTAGGAATTAAGGCCATATCGATAGTATAATCAAATATTCCGATACACTATATTAAAAACTTTCAGAGAACGTAATCCTGATATTCATAATGAAATACCAAAAGTCAAAGAATATAAGAGTAGGAAAAATCTACGAAATTTAGTACAGGCGTACTCCACATCTAGTTATCGTCCTAGTTATGAAAGAACGAATAGCAAGTATGGATTATACGCCATGCATCTGAGCAAATATATCAGTAAAAATATCCCAGTCACAAAAGTATTTGAAGAAGTAGGAAAATGTAAGACACAACGGAATTTATACATATAGTCTGAATATTTCCTAATTGGTAATTGATTAATTTATATTTGCAGCAATAGACAGATTATTAAAAGGAACTGAACGTAATCAAATTCCAATGTTTGCCTTAACCATCACTAAACCTTTTCGTCTCACTGATGCAATTTACAAAAGTAATTATGGAAATTTTGTCTTATAATATTTTTGATTAAATATTTTTTGATGGATGTTGTGTGATATTAACCAAATGTTTTCTATCGAATTAAATCAAGTATCATACAATAAAAATGTCAATATAAACCAACACTGGATAGACGTGTGTATACCTACATAAAATTTATTATATCTGAAGATATAAATAATAAAGAAAATGTGAATAATAATAAAAATGTTTCATTTTTTAAATTTATATCTTGTTTCTTGATATGTTATGCATATACACATTTCTACTTAATGTTGAAATTTTTATTGTATTTGAATGTATGACATTGTATTATTGCAGGAGATCCATCGCCTACATTAGACCATTTAAATAAATTAATAGCTTTCTCAACTAAGTCTATCGAAATAAACTTCAAGCAAGCTAATATTTCTGCTATGGTTGTTATCTCGTTATTTATGGAACCATATTTAAATGTAATCAAGGTTTCAGTATGTAATTTAGAAGATCTGGAAGTAAATTTTTTTAATTTTGTGGCCACAAAACAGAATAATTTGTTCCAAACTGCAGGTTCCAAACAAGAATGTTGGATACATAATCCACAAATGTGTCAGGTAATTTTAAATACATAAATGAATTTTATCGTTATATGTGATAAATATGTTATATTACAAAATATTGTATTTTGCAGGGGCCTTTGGTTGTATCTGTTTCAAAAAATAGGACACAAATTGGCGCAACATTGCTGCACATTAAAAACTATATTCCATTAATATTGGAACAAATTAATAATTAATATTTATCTGAGAGTAAGCGTGGCAGAGCAGATAACGCACTGGTTTGCTATGCTAGAAATCCCGGGTTCGATTCCCGGCAGAACCAAAAATATTTTCATACGCTCGTATCTTCTCAAAAGGCAATGGCAAACCACCGAGAGTATCTTTGCCAAGAGCACTTCTCTAATAAAAATTTCGTCGTTTGGAATCGACGTTAAACTGTAGGTCCCATATGATTGTGTACAACCAGCGTGCGCACCACAGGCATATGAGAGAAATCACCACGCTCGGCCACGAATAATAGGATTGAGATGATGATTTATATAGGATGTACAAACTGAATCCATATATTCTAATTGTGAATAAAATATATGATTTGTATTATATGTATATATGTGATATAATGCAAATAATCATGTATCATATTTCTATTAAAAAATATAAATCAAAAGAAATTGGAAAGAATAAAGGCAATAGGAGTCAGGCGCAGAAGACGTCGCGCAAATAATACATCCATAAAGCGTAAAACTTGCGTGACGTTTTCTGCGTCCGACTCCTATTGCCTTTATTCTTTCCAATTTCTTTTGATTTATAAGGAGTCCTTGTTAGTTTGATTTGTTATATGGAAAAAATATAAAGTAATGTCATATAGATAGCTAACATTTACTTTCTATAGCAACAAAAAATGATTAAATATATTAACACGAATTTTATTTCAAACTATTGTGTAACTATATTGACAAAACTACGATAAGACATTAATACTATAATGATTTACAAAAGTGGCAATCCATGAACCACCAACATTATTTACATATTTACGGGTGAATGTATAATTACAGACTAACATATCTCCAAATTTAGAGACGTCTGTGAATGTAAAAGCTGACTCTAGCTTCTTTTTCTCAGCCATACCTGGGATGTAATGGAAGATCGATTTAATTTGAATGGAATGGTCCTCATCTGCAAACAAGATATATATATATATATATACATATTTGCTGTATATTATGGAATATTATTGGTATTAATTTGATAATTCTGCTACCTGTCTCTGTTACTGAAATATCAGATAAAATTTGAAATGCAATATCTTCCTCATTTATTGCAATTAACCTTTTCTGCTCAGGGCTGAGGGTCGTGATTTTTGTTCTTAAAACTTCTATCATATCTTCTGCTACAAGACCTTCCAAGGAATCATAGCTTTCATTTGCTAAAGCCTTAGATATTACTGTTATTGCCTAGAAACGCAAG